ATACTATGATATTCTATAAGGAATAACAGTAGCAAAGGTGGCCTATTCATAGAATAATTATTGATAAAAAACATTTAGATCAACATCATCTAATATATAGAAAAGCCAGTGTGTTTTGCTAACTCTATGTTTCAACATTTCGTCTGATATTCAATATTGCTTTCATTATTTGGAATGTACATGTTTCAATGTTAGGATAGTATATTGATGATAATTATATTAATACTTAAAACTCGGGTTAAAAACTATTTTTAAGACTGTGTTGTCCTTGCTTCACAAAAGTTGCTTGCATAATTATTCACAAATATGCATGGAATGCATTAAAGTTATTGCTTGTATTTGGTTTTGTGAGGTACTTCATTTCTATTTTATACAGATATTGATTGCATAACAGGTGGTTAGGACATTTTACTCGTAATCTGAGGGTCATGGGTTCCATTCTCCATTCCACCAATCAACAAGCTTAGCTGAATTTGTAATGGCTCTTGTCGCATAGTTAGAAAGCCAGAAAAATTGTGATAATTATGGGACATTATCTAATTTTTTCATGTTATTATTCTGTGTTTTTTAATTAAATTAAAAAATATTTAGTGCAGTGGTACCATTAGTTTAAAAAAGTAGGGTGAAGTATCACAACAACAAAAAAACAAAAGACAGGTATTTTATTTCTTGTTTTTCACGTGTATTCTTTATTTATTATTATAAAAGTAACTAAAATGTAAAAATTAGGAACTTTATAGGTTAGATTAGGTAAAATAAAGAATAATAATAATGAAAATTTTTGCACATGGGCATTTCACGAGTAGACTGCACATTATGTAATTCGATAGAGTAACATGAGCTCCATGTTTGCCGATTGATTTGCAGTTTTTATGGTGGGAATATTAATTTAGAAATAGTTCAAAGGCGAATAAAACAATAAAATTTAAGTATAAACAGATGTATACTGTTACAAGTTTAAAGCTATTTACGATAAGCAAATGTAATTTCATGTTACAATTTGAAGTCATTCTGGAAAGAAAAAAAAGGGTAATTTAGATTTATTTCAATTTTTATTTATTTTTTTGGTGGTTAGGATGTCATTGAAATTGACCAACTTCATATACAGAGGTAGGGTAGAGAAAATAACATAAAATATAAAGTTTTACTGCATAATGTATAATGTTTTATATTTATGTAAGAGGTTTTAGACAAAAGTACATTAATCTTAATGTGAAAGTCACTTTGCACTTGGACTAATAAACAAAATACTTGGTATCTTCACAGACAAATCTTTGTTAAAAGTACTTATTTAAAAAGCTGTTAGTAATGTCTGCCAAATTTTGTTAAGATACACATACTGTATTAAAAGTTATAGTATGGAAACCTTAATGAGTACAAAATGGTTGTGAACTTGGTCAGTTTGACCGAGTCCATGTGGAAAGAGCTAAACTATGGAAAAGTGAAATTAGGAGTAGGTAAGTATAGACAATTCACCACATATGTAAGGGAAGGGTGGGTGTAAATAATACCATGTATTGCAAAAGGAAAAGTATTTGGGGAACGAATCTGTCCTCTCTCAGAGCCCCATCTGAGACAAAAGTGTTTGTGTGTTAAGGTTTTATGTGTGAATTTCTTCATTTGTTTAATGACACTTAGAGTACCGGTACTGTAACCCTGTTTAATTCTAACACTTGCCCCCAATACCCAAGTTTTGAAATCATCACTAGATCTGGTGTATCGTACTAGGTAAGTTGATTTATTTGTCATTTTTTATCACATCATTTGGCTTAAAGTATCTTTTGTATTAGAGGTGTTTGGTGGGTATCACATGCTGTAGAATAGGTTCAAACCATTTAGGTTTAACCTTACTGTCATTGAGATGCCTTGCATGGCCATCAGATTTGTTTAGAACTCTATTTACATAACCTCTTACGTGAGTAATCTAGGCAGGTCACTTAACTGTTTTTAATTATTTTAAACACACAACACTGCCTTTACATTTCATAAACTTTGTGTACTCAAATACAACACACCACAACCAAAAATGTTTTACACATGAAGCACTAGTTTCATTCTTAGCTATTGATCAAAATAATGTTACTTTTTAAACTGTCAAATTTTTCTCCGAAAGTGTCACATCAGTACGATTTATAAGGCATTTCACAGTGTTTGATACATATGCATTTCATTGTATTTTAGATAACTGGAAGAATTTTGAATCTGTACTTACAAGATGGAGCTAACCAAGATCTGGATATTGTTGCCTATCCAGAACTAGATTCTCCTGCTAAGTGTCCAAAGTTTAGATTTCGAATGTCTTTGAACAAAGAAGGACTTTTGGTTAATCCTGATGTTCTTGCAATGCTGCGAGTGTATACATTGGAGAAACATACTCAGGAGGAGGTTATGTTAGGGTCTTGTCTTGTAGGAATTTTCACGAATAAAGCTGGAAAGGTGAGATTTTTAAATATTAACTGTTTTTCATCTCTTCAGTCATTAACTTAACTTCATGAATCAATGAATAACCCATTGGCTTTAGTTTCAGTCCCTTAGTTAGCTGTTTCTTTCTTGTACATTTTATGCCCATCAAAAGAGGAATTGTTTGCACAAGTCTTAATGTGTTAGTCATAAAAACTTTGGTTCAGAACACTAGGGTGAGCTGAGAGGTCCAAGTTAAAGCCTGGTTAGGGGCAAGTTTCCTTATAGTAAGCTTATGTTTAACTTGTTAGTTTTTGCTTTAATATTCTACTTTAGACAAAACCAGATGAGCTAGCTTATGCTGAACTTGTTAGAGTTATGACTTTAATAAACTGCTACTTACAAATCCAGATGAGCAAGCTTATGCTTAGCTAGGTAGAGTTTGGTTGGACAAGTATACCCACTAATCTAAAAAATTAATTGGTTAACTATGCCACACTTATCTCTTAATTTGATTGGACAACTATACCACATTCATCTCTCAATTTGATTGGACAATTATGCCATACTCATCTCTTAATTTTACTGTACAACTATACCACCTTAACTTAGGCATGTTCCAGTATCCTTGATATGATAGACACTTTGATGTTTGAGTATTTGTTTATGTGGGTCTGTAATCATTTCTTTGTAGAACAAGTTAACATTGTATGTGATAAGGACATGTAAATTGATATACAGTACTTTCCATTGTTAGTGGTGTTGCGTCATCGAGTCACATGACTACTGTGACGCAACGTTTCTAGAACTATCATGTACTTTGGCGAATGCTCTAGTGTTTGCTAGATGGGGTAGGCGGGTATATATAAGAGGGGACAACGTGACGCGGAGAGGTAATGTCTGTGTAGACAGTGAGTAATCGATCTGCAGTCAGAAGTATTATTGAGCACGTTCGTTGTTATAGCGTTTGTTTAGCGCAATTGTTGAAGTTGAGTGTATCGGTAAAGTTGTATTCGGAAATAATAAACCAGTTTTATTAAGTAAAGAACTTGTATCGCTAAAATTTCGTCGGAACGAAGTTACGGAAAGTTAATTAACAAACGGAGACGTAACAAATTGGTGTCAGAGAGTGGGATAGAAAAAAAAAGAGAAGAGGCGGAAAATCAAACTACAGCTTAGCAGACTTGATGGCAGCAATACCAAAACAAGAAAAGAAACAAGAAAAACGAGAAATTAAACAAGAAGAGAAATTACGGCAGTTGTTAGAGGAAAAAGAAAAGAAACAAGAAGAACGAGAAATTAAACAAGAAGATAGATTACAGCAGTTGTTAGAGGAAAAAGAAAAGAAACAAGAAGAACAAGAAATTAAACAAGAAGAAAAATTACGGCAGTGGTAAGAAAACCTACAACAATGGCAGCTCGAACAGCAAAATAAACAAGAGAGATTACAACAGTTGTTGGAGGAAAAAGAAAAGAAACAAGAAGAAAGACAACGGCAGTTACAAGAAAACCTACAGCAATGGCAGCTCGAACAGCAAAGTAAACAAGAGAGACTACAGCAGTTGTTGGAAACAAGAAGAGAAATTACAGCACTTGTTGGAGGAGAAAGAAAATAAACAAGAAGAACGAGAAAAGACACAAGAAGAGAGACTACAGCAGTGGCAATTGGAACGCTTTTAAATTTACTAATGTTTTCCATTTGTACTTCTTGTTTCCTTTCTTGGGAATTAGATACGTTAAAGAACGATTTATTGTCTGTTACACAAGGAGGATACATTGACCATCGACTTAATCAGTCCCAGACAATGGCAAGCCCCTTACAGAGTCCG